AGGTAGTGCACACGGTCAAGGTACTAAGCCGAATTAACGATTCGATAAACGTCACTTCAAAGATTTATCAAACCAAACTTCACTGTTTTAAATACCATTTAGATGCTGAACGTTACTTTTGATTTGCAGCCTGACCGACAAAATATGCTCGGGTACCGCATGTCTGTTTTCAGCATTGTTCTAATGGTAATGATATCTATTTGCATTTTTCAAAGTTTAGCGTTAAACTACTTGCAAGTAGCAGTTGGCAGAAACTTTCGTTTTACGCGTAGTCAATAAAACAAAATGAAATTCTACCCGCGTCTGATTTATTGCACGAGTACATCGTCAGGGCTGGAAATAGAACCAGGGACCTCACGCGTAAAGCACAAACATACTAACCACTGTGTGACTGGACGGACGAATAAAGCGTTTTCCACTTCATTTAGAGATTTTACAGCACAACGGTTCTTTATGAGATCAGTATGGACCTCGCATCTTGCACATCTCAACACTGGTCTCCAGGGTTATGACTCAGTAAGAAACATTTAAACCTGATAAAATGTTACGTGAGAGCAGTACAGGATTCGGTTTGATCTTTTGTTGGAAGTCGTCTGGTCGACAGTGAATGCAGCGTGAACCGTAAAACCAGGAATCCATAGACAGCTGTTTCCTGTATGGGTATAATAAAAAGCTGTCTCATCCGCTGCCCGATGGCAGGTTGTGGTAAGATTTTTGCTATCCCAAGCTCCAACAGTAGGTGGTTCGATGGACTCACACTACGGGTGCGACCCAACCAGATTGAAATAGCTGTCCAATACTTCCTAGATTTACAGCTAACGCCTAAATTGAAATCCGCCATATGGTCCCGCCGAATCTTCCATTACTCTCATGCAGCTTTTAGATTCGTCAGTCATAATTCAGGTTATGCACAAACGCTGCTGATACCACAAAGAATCTCCGACAACTTACAGAAACGATGATGTACCAAAAGATGATATTGCATACGGTGTTTGGATAAATTTCATAAGCTTTGGTATTATCAAAGTCCCAATTTATACGGTCATTAAGTTTAAGAAGGAGGTTGCCACGCAACGTCTTTTGGGGTTTATTTTAAGTGATTTTTTTTGAAAACTCCTTCATACAACACCAACTTTTGATACAACCGTTGTGAGATACTCACTTTGAGTAGTTCGCGAAAAGATGCGATCAGCAGTTTCTTTCAACGACCAAAAATGAACAAGACCTGTTGGAGCAAACTGTTGCTGTTCAGTACGGTGAACACAATAATGTGCATTTGATAGTGGACCGTTATATTGCACATCCTGTGTGCTTGTGGGAATTCCGCAAACTTGTTCCAAATGAAATATTTTGTTCTATGAATGAAAATTTAACCATAACTTGACCATAATTGGCAACAAACAACTATCCTCGGCCAGCACCGTCCTGTGGAATTACAACTTTAGACATGAAACAACTGAAGTACCCCATTCATTGTTCATGGTCAGAAAACCAAATCTTTTTTTGCCGCAGACCGGTGATATCCAACTCAATTTACAATATCAAATGCACTTTTACGCGTAACATGTACGAAAGCCATTCAAATGTCCGCTATTGTTGCACTCAAGTATTTGTTTACTCGCCAAATCAGCACAACAGAGAAGGAGGACGTGGCACGCTAGTGCTGAACCGCAAAGCCGTCACTTTCACGTGCCTCCTGGCTAGCTAGGTCACACGTTGGCTTGGTTCCTTTATCAGCTTATAGTAAAGGTATGCAAAACAATACGGAAAAAATCAGCATTCAAAAGCAGTACAAGCGTGATGATGATCTGGCAGTATGCGATCACTGACATGTACTTCATTTGTAGGTATTATGATACAGAGTTAAACTGTACACATGGTACATTTGAAAGCACGATTACTTGAAAAATCTGTTTGATCACATTACCAGCTTTTCTAATCATGTGTAGTCACTAACAAAAAAGACCCGAATCGAACTCACTTTGGGTAAACCATTATAAACGTCGACTAGATCGAATTCAAGTAAGCAGGATTTGGGGGTGAGAGAGAAAACAGCAAATTATCTCCAATTATCATTCCCATGTCTTGATTACAGAGGGCCACAAAAGAATATCTAACCCGAGGCTGTTGTTGTATACGAAGCGTTCAAAATCGAGTGCTTCTATCAGTCACCGATTAGGAACGACATCTGGTAACAGAGTTCTGATAAGGATGACTAGATGCCTGTGTACGGGATGAGCGGGTAAACGATGAAGGAAGAAGAAAATGCCGAGGCAAGCTCCGATTAACAAAGGCCAAATTTGTAACGGTTGAGTAGGGACAATGAAGAAACTGCCCCAACGATGGGCTAGTGACTGCAGACTGGATGGTAGGGAAGGATCACAAATGGATTTTCGTCGAACATGAACCCCGGAGTTGTGAACATACTCCACGGATCTCCACAGCGTTGAGACGAGTCCAGAAAAAAATCATTTTTAAAATACGCATCCTGAGATCCACAACAACGTGACGAACAAGTTTATTTTCAGTTATTCGTAATCATGCAATTGCATGACATTATATATGATTAACAATAAAAACAAAAAGGGAATGATAAATCCCAGTTTTACCGATTCAGCTCAGGTTCCAAACGTCTGTGCGTATGTGTTTGTGTGTAACTGATCGCAGTGTCAAAAGTTCAAGTGATTGCACACGTGTTAGGTTAGATGAAAT